TAGGGAAAAGTGAAATCACACTTTATTCCTTCTTTTGCATAATACTTATTGAATTTATTAGAAATATATTCACCTCCTTCATCTGTTCATAGCACCTTGATAAAGTAACCGCTTTCCTTCTCAACTAGGGCTTTAAAGCTCTTAAAATAATCAAAGACTTTAGATTTTTGCTGCAAAAAGTAGACTTATATTTTTCTTGTGAAATCATCAATAAAAGTAAGGAAGTATCGATTATTGTCATTGGATATAGTGTTCATAGGACCGCACACATCTGAATGGACGAGCTTAAGAGGCTTCTTTGCACGCCAAGTATTTTCAATACCAAATGATGATCTACGTTGCTTTCCAAGAATGCAACATTCACACAACTGTTTGGGATGATCTACAATAGGCAAGCATCTCACCAAATTTCTTTGAGCAAGTAACTTCACACTGTGAAAATTCAGATGTCCAAACCAAAGATGCCATAACCAAGACTTGTCTTTCATAATAGCATTGAAGCAATGATAAACATCATTTTGGATGTCAACTCGAAACATGCGATTATTTGTCATAGGGGCTTTAAGCATAAATACACCTCTTTTATCAAAGATTAGGAGTTGATTACCAGAGAAGCGCGAATCATACCCATTGTCAAGAAGTTGGCCCATACTGAATAAATTATTCTTCATATTCAGCACATAGAATACATCGAAAATAAATTTTTGGTTTCCATTCTTCAGCTTGATGAGAACTCCCCCTTTTTCCATCACTGGTAAAGTGTTGTCATCGGCAAACTTGACTTTGAACCATATCGACTCATCCAGGTCCACGAACAACTCTTTGTTTCCGCACATGTGATTAGAACATCCAGTATCAAGAAACCATGTGTTGTAGTTTGATTCTTCACCGGTTGCTGTGACCATCAATAAAGTGTGGTTGTCTTCATCACATCTTTCTTGTGCAAATCGAACTTCTTCTTCGTATAGGGAATTATCATGGTACTTACACTCCTTTGCATAGTGGTTATATCTGTGACATATGTAACATTCACTGTTTAATTTATTAAAATTTCCTCTGCCATGTCCAAAGCCTCGACCTCAACCTCGACCTTGATAATTTAAATTTGATTGATAATTGCTTCTCTGATTGTTGACATCTCTTTGATTGTTATTATAACTGCCACGTCCTGACTATTGTAGTATCTGCGTCCTCAGTTGTTATAGTTCTCGTATCCTCGTCCTCTGCCATAGGAATTTCCTCCTCGCTGGTCTCTTTCGTACTACGCTCTTTTGTTATTTGTTTATAAAAGCTTGACTTCGAAAAGCTTTCTCAATGGGCTTCTCGGTCGACCTCTCGTTCATGTATTACTCGTGAACTTGTAAGGTACCCATCAACTCATCAATTGTCATCTTAGACAAATCCTTCGATTATTTGATTGCCACCACGATATGATCAAATTTTCTGTAAGAGATCACAATATCTTCTTCACAATTACTAAATCTGCAACCTTCTCCCTGTTTATTTGTATTTGATTTGTTAAAGAAAGTACTTGGGTCACATAATCTGTAACACTTTTAGAGGATTCCATCTGCAAAATTTTAAATTAATGTCTCAATGTTTGAAGCCTAATTTTTTTCACCTTTTCAACTACATGGTATGATGTCTCCAAAGTATCCTATTGCTTTGCTGTAGTTGCTACGTCGATCTTCTCAAAAACTGAATCATTCACTACTTGATGGATGTAGAATAACGTCTTTTGATCCTTCTTCTTGATCTCACCGTGGGCTTTCTTCTCGGCTTCACTTGCACTATCTGCGAGATCACCAACTCCATTCTCTACGACACTCAGTATATCTTGATATTCAAATAACACCTTCATCTGTACTCTCCACCGGTAATAATTCTTCCCTTCTAATATAGCAATAGAAAGCGACATCGTCCTATTTAGATTGTTCATGGCTCTGATACTACTGCTGGGTCAACTACTAACAAAGAGGCAATTAAATAATGAAGATATATGAAGAGAGAGAAAGGGAAGAACAACTAAATTTGTGCTCTCTATTTTGCTTTGGTTGCCGCTACATTACACGTTTTTTCCACCTTTTTTTTATTTTTTTATACAAGGATGCATAATGCCTATTTAATGGCTTACAAAATTCATCTATCAAGAGTTCTAATATAATAAGAACTCTAAAGCCAAACTACTCAAAACCCATAGATAATTAATATGAACTAATTCCTAATAAAACAAACTCTTATAAAGGAGGTGTTTCTATAAATAATAAACTCAAATGCGTTTAGAATTAATTAAGACTAACTTCAACATAATTTTTGTTCAGTATTATGGAATAGTTATTGGATTTCAACGATCTAACTGAAACAATGGATGTCTATTAGAAATTTGGGATCGATCTGGAGTCTGAATGAATCCTTAGAAACCCTAGATTTTGTTTCCAATACTATTCGATCGTATAGATGAGTATTTGTTCATCACTATGGAAATATTGTGTATACCTAGCAATCTGATGGAAATATGAGATTCTGAACGAGATATTGAATCTATTGGT